TTTACTCATTTTAAGATGTTCTTTCCAGCTATGATAATGGATTCGTTCTTCTTGTCTAGATCAAAATTTCATCTGTAGCTGAAATCCTACATATTATACAACCACCTAAGATTTACTTGTATGTTTTCTTTCCAGCTATCTCTGGTTCCTCATGGTGTTATTCAAGTACCACTGAGATTTACACCTTCACAAATTGGCTTGGGAAAGCATAAAGCCAAAATTGTATTTCGCAGTGAACAGGTAAAAAAATTACATTTATACATCGCAAGTGAGTAGCCTAGGTGGGTGGGCAAAGGATGCCTGTGCACCCCCTCCCTTCCCCTAACGCCCTAACATAGAAAACGGACTGCTAAAGAAATTATTGTAATAAACAAAACATTGAAAATAAAATTATTTCATTATTAGCTTGGAGATTGGACATTCGTTGCATCAGGGACAGGTCTGAATCCTAAACCAGCAAAACCAAGTTATGTCCATGGCAAGCTGTCTGAGAATTCTTCAGTTATTGTTCCATTTCGTAATCCAACTGAACATACTGTTGTTGTGGAAGTGGGTTTAAAAGAGAAGTCCATACATTCAGGTAAAGTGAAGATTGTGTAGCTTGACAATTGATTGGACGGCTCGTATCAACTCTGACTTCATGCACACTGAACACATTTCTATCAGTAATGGCCATGTCGTCCAATTTCGTGCAACTGAGTTCAAAAAGCTCGATTAAAAGGACGTCGAGCTAGTGGGTGGGAACGTGGTTCAGGAATTTTACAATTTGTACAGCAATATAAGCTGCTTTCTTTTGAAAGTATTCATTTATTGGGTATTCATTTAATATACATTCAAATAAATTTTCAATTAAATGACACTTGTTTAGGTTCTGTGTTCCTGTCTGGCGTGTCAAGTGAAAATTCAAACGAATTAGCATTTTGTCTTCTCCTGAAACGTAATGACGGTATCCTTCTGAGACCCCAGGAGATCCTAGATATCCCAGTTACATTTACCCCTCACTGTATGAAGTCTTATGAAGCTACTGTCACTGTATCCATACAACGCTACGATATCGCACCCGGAACATCGTACTCGGATATATTACCCACCACCATGATCAATAATCTCAGCTGGATATTTCCACTCAAGGGTATCCCTGTGTCACATGTCATGAGCACATCACGTGCTATCACAATCGAATGTCAGTCACGTGATCGGACTGAACAGAACATTGAATTGACTCTATCTGGAGTTGTACCCAGTGGTAGAATGGGCTCTCTATACACGACAGGCACTATGACTCCGATCAGTTTAGTGAGAGAGAATTCTATCAATGAGATTCAAATGGGAGTTGATAATGTACCATTTTCAGAGAGTTTTAGGTAAGTTGCGAAGGTCCGACCAATAGACCTTTCCGGTTTTCCCCTTATGAGTGAAATTTTGATCTGGACAAGTCTAGACAAAAATTTCATCACAGCTTGAAAGAGCATCACAAAATTAGTAATATTCAAAAGTTTCGTTGCAAAATGTTGTAAAATGAGGATAATATAGTTTGCCGTTTTTCAGTCATTTTGTATTACAAATGGGAAATTGATAATCAGTTTGATCATCTGATTATCAATTTCCCATTTGAAATGCAAAATGACTGAAAAACGGCAAACTTCGTAAGGCTATATTATCCGCATTTTACAACATTTCGCAACGAAACTTCGGAATATTACTAATTTTGTGATGCTCTTTCAAGCTGTGATGAAATTTTTGTCCAGACTTGTCTAGATCAAAATTTCACTCAAAAGGGGAAAGGTCTATTAAGCACCCCTGATGATTTAGGTGCAGATAAGATAGGCATGACTATTCTAACTATAGCCATATATATGCCTCTATTTTGTTCATGATAGCGTATATATACAGCTAAATAATGCAAAAATAATTTTTGTCCAGACTTGTCTGGATTAAAATTTCACTCAAAAGGGGAAAGGTCTATTGCAAACCTTTCTTGTGGTTCCAACAATATTGATCAATGTTGGGTGACAATTTTGAATCAAGTCAGATCTGATCCAACATCTTCCAACAGTACTAAACATAGTGTTCAAACCATCCAACCATGTTGTATCCAACGATGCTGTGCGAGGTTGGGCCAACATATTGGTCTGGTGTGAGAACGGTGTCATAACATATCTTGTGGTAACACATTGCCAATACGGGGTTGCCCTTGCTGCGGATCCCTTGGGAGAAAAGTTTAGAACTGATAGAACTATCAATTACATTATTATAAATATGTTTAGTGTAGTGTAGTGCAAATCTTTTGTGTATTTAATAATTCTTCATTTTTCAGCTATGAATTTCTGTATGCGGATGACGATTGTCAGAACGCTTTAGAAAGATCTCTTGGTATTCAACTAGAGAAGAAATATCGTAATAAAGCTTCTGGTGTGGTCACTTTGATATTCCGTCTTATCTTTTCTTCTTATAAACCTTTCAAGTGAGTAGTAGCTACTTTATCTTCGACTATAAAGCTTAGAAAACTTTTCCTTATTAATGGGATACCCCCAATGGATGCCCTCACTGGACGTCTATGGAACTGGGGGATTTACTTTACTTCGATTTATTAACCTGCCTTGCATGCTTTTTCGAGTCCCGTTTGCGCCTCGCCCATTTAGGGTCTTCGAATAATTGATTATACAAGACTTTGTACATATACTTCAGTGGACCCTAATAAAGACAATAATAATAGAACGGATGGACTTATCCTGTATAAATAAAGTTAGCTTAGTTTTTAGTTGGCATCTTACACCACCCGTACGCGCAATTAATCTTCAATTATCATAGTCACGTGGTTCACCTGGTTATCAGTGCTGGTTCTGGTGGGGTGTGGAAATTTCCAGTCCGTTTCCTAGCAACCGAAGCTGAAGTTGACGACACCATTACAATAGAAGCTGCAGGTCTCAATAAGGAAGCAGTCGTTGGATTTCGCCTTACTAGTCAATGCAGGTCAGTGGTTGAAAATCTTTAAAAATTTTAAATGTATATTTTGAAAACTAACGTTACTCTTAGGTAAGGGGTGGATCTAGATTTTTCAAGGAAGTTCACTCCTCCAGAACCACTGCAAATTAAAGCCTGGTTTAAAAAGTTTCTGTGATCACCGCAGGAATTTTGCAGCATCGGTAAATTCTAAGTTTTGAAGGATTGTAAGAAATGTTTATCAGGGAACTGACTCGGTGTTTAACAGTCAATCAGTTCCGTCAAAACTTAAAATTTACCTGTGCAAAATTCCTACTGTGAACTAGGCTTGATTAAGTTTACACTTCCCTGCACCATCCAAGAAAATCTACCAACGATCTTTGTTGTATAATATTGTCGATATTTTTAACTATTAATTTTATTCTCTAACATGGCAATGACTTGTGTTTCATTTAGGCAAGCAGTTCCCTTTACAGCATCTCTTACAGCTGATTCAGATAAAGAATTTGCTCTGTATTGCTCTTCTCAACTACTTTTGCCTCAAGACAGTGAAGGAACGTTAATTAAAGTCACGTATAAACCAACATTGTATGGCAAGACACACAAGGCTAAGATTATTGTTCAGGTAATACTAGTTTTTTTTCTGTTGGGAATTTATCAGGTTTTTATACGATATAGATGTTAGGCAAAGTCAACATTACAGGTAAGGTTTGTTGAGCCAAAAAGTGGATTACTGGATTGTTCAAAAACACAAATAATTCTATAATTTCATCGCTAAACTAAATTCGAGTACCTATGTTTTTACCGGATCGCCCTATCAGAACTGTTCCAAGAGGTCCAGTATATCTTATTGGTGTGGTGATACTGCTGTTGGAAAGTGGAGAAACCTGTTCTGTTTGGTAGAATCAAATTGAAAGAAGTGATCTCACATGCAACTGAATGGTAGTTGAAGAAATCTATATATTGCAGGAATCAAACCTCAATCAGAGATGAGAGACATATGCACCAAGAGCCCCTATACTTTTTGAGTGAAGCGTGATGGGCTTATTTTACTTAGCCGTGAAACTTGATCGATGATTTTCTTCATCCGTGAACATGAAGGAATTTTTTCAACTTTTCGTGACTCGTGAAAAGGCAAAATATTTTTACGTGAAAGCATATTGTGAAGTGGTATAGGGGGCCCTCCACTAACTACCACTGGGGAAAAAATGTGAAATCCATACTACTTCATTGAAATTTTTGATGTACTTATTCGATTAATTCTTTACTACCTATAGACGGCAGACATGCAATGGACGTATGACGTGAAAGGTGTGACTCCAGAATACAACCCTCCTAGTGGTCAATCTGTTATCACGACGAAACAAACAACTTCTGTCAAACAACGCAAGAAGAACTATATTCGAGACAATCTCAGACTTCAGGCTACTGGGGTTTCTTCTCCGATCAAAGGAGCTCCCATAGTACAACGCGGGCGTCGTAATTTGAAAATGTGAACATGCCGTTACCATGACGACTATCAGGTGACGTCATGACGAATTTAGTTCACGCAATCATAAGTGTTAATACGTGTGTCAGATAAGTCGATGTTTTTGTCCATGATCTGTTTAACACTGTACATATACATATAAATATTTTAGACCATGCTGTATTTTAAAGTAATATTATTCTATGTAAATATAATTTGAAACGCAGTCTTAATGCTGGAACTGAAAAAGAATCAGGACAAACTTTTTTAACAGGCTTGAATCGTAATGTAAAACCTTCGAATTCTCGTTAGAAAAGGTAATGTTTTATCTGCCACTGTTCATCGTTAGCGCAAACGACGGTAGATCGCGGGCAGAAAATAGGGAGGGGGAGTTCATAGGGAAGTTGCGGGTGGAAAAAGAACTGTGGGAAAGCCGGAAAGAAGAAAAGTAAACGAAAGCAGTATGGTGCGATCATGTGAGTTTAAAAAAATACCTTTTGAACGTGTTTACCATTCTAATCCTGGACGATTTAGGCATGTTTTCATCGAGTCACCATGTAAATTCCACATGATATTTTTGAACTAAAATATGCTTGCTTTTGCACTGTTTTTATGCACTGTTGTTTGTACCACGAAGGCGATCGCTGACATCCTGAATGAAGAGGAACCAACAGTTGCGTCTGGTACTACATCACTAACTACACCAGATATAAATCCATATCATAAAACATATAATCGAGTTCTATTCACAGTAATTTCATCTCTCTCAACATTTGGATCAGTTGCTATAATTGTGACATACTTTTTATGGCGTGATTTGCAGACTACAACCAGAAGAATTCTTGTATATATTTCTATTGGAGATTTCTTTGCGACTTACCCTTCAGTGGTCATATTTTGGACTAAACAGTACGAGAAAAATGGCATGTCTTGTAAATTACAAAGCTTCATTACGTCTACAGCTATAATGTGGTCATTCTTTTGGACAACGTCTTTGGCTATCTACTTATACATTGCTTTGGTGAAGAAACGGCATGATATTTCAGAGAAATTGATGGTGACGTTTCATGTTGTAAACTGGTGCCTACCGACAGTATTGGTAGGTGCAGCATTGTATGAGAAACAACTTGGTACCACTAAGAGCGAATCTACTGCGGGATGGTGTTGGATTCGAATTGGGGAGGATCGTGAAAGAGCTGTTATTTGGATGCTTATTTGTGGGAAATTTTGGGAAATTTTATCATATTTCATTAATGGTATTCTTTATTATTGCATCACTCGTACAATTAAGAAAGAGGTGCGTCTCTCGGCAAAGTTTATAAGTAACTTTTCATTATTTTAGACTTCACTCTCTAACACATGTTCATGCCTGGTGGCACCCAATTACACTTTGGGACAACTCTGTTTTTATTTATGTCATGCCAAATACCAATCGTACCAATTACTTGTTCTGCCATAAATGTATATTAATTAAGCCATTTTATCCAGGTTTCAGAAAGAATGCATCTCATGTCACCACAATCTATACAGATTGCGGAGCAGGGAAGAGGAAAACTGGTGCTTGTTCCTGTAATTTTTGTCGTACTTCGAATATGGGGGACGATAAGATTTATTCTTTTTGCATCCTCAGCTCATCCTCCAACTGTTTTTAAAGATGTTATGATTACTTTGCAGGTAAGAATCTTGAAAAGAATGATGTCTAATAGTCCTAGAATATATAGAGTGAAATTAAATTAGTATTAGTTCTGTGCTGGATTCTAATTCTGACTCCAATTATAGCCTAATTGCTTTACCATTGTCTTATTTGTACCAATATTCTTATAATAATTTTATCTAAATTGCTACTATATTCTTAATTACCCCTAATTTATTGTATAGTATATTTGAAAAATAACAACATAAAGAATTATTACTCACGTTAGTTAATATAATTGTTAGCTCTAATATTATTTATTCTATTTTAGCTCATTGGAGATAATGCTCAAGGAATTACAAATTTTATTTTATTTTGTGTGTTAACTGAGAAATTCAAGCAGCAAATAATCAGAGTTTTTGGAATTTGTAACAGACGATATAAAGCTGGTAGATTGCCATCAGGACAGGCAAACCCAGATGTTCATAGAACATTCAGTGATACGACTGGAGGAGACACATACACATTTTATAGCTGATAATTGCAAGTGAAAATTTCATGTATTATTTTTCACCTTGCTTGGTTTCCTTTGTTCTTATCGGGGAATATATTCAATATTCCCCTCTAATCAATTTTCGTTTAATAATCCCATCTAATATTCACCTGCAATATTTTTGCAGCACAAAAAATGAGAAAAAACAACATAACGAAGGCAATATGGCATTAAGAATTATTTCTATTCTGACTCATTAACGCGACCTCGCAATGTGAAAAATAAGTACGTTATTTTGAGGCACTTCAGGGATATGTGTTTATTCACCTCGGCGCTGCGTGCCTCAGTGAATAAATCACATATCCCCTTGTTGCCTCAGAATAACCTATACGTATAAGAGGGGGGGGGGTCTGAAAATCAGTAAACGGTAAAAATTTTGGTATTTTAACAGTAAATCTTTGAATCTGCTGCAAAGTGTTCTTGAAATGATAAACAGTAAAATTTTTAGTGTTTTCATGACTGACGGTAAACAAAATTGAGCAATTACGACTCACAATATATCCATCAACACCCTTGTATAATGGCTAACATACGTACATCCTCATGTTTCGCATACAATTGTATTTATCTTTCATTGCGACCTCAATTGCAACCTTAGCTTGTGAAGTGGCAAACAGTCTTTTCGCTTCCACCACCTGCCATGCCTACCTACCCTGTCCCTAAGCTTATTGTGCAGTTGTGTGAGAAACATGAGGACGAGCATGAGAATACATAATATAAATCACATTAAATTATATGTAATATAAATGAGAATTCTATTTTCTATATTTGATATTCTTTATAACAAGATAAATTATGTTTTTAATTAAAATTAAATTGATTTTGAAGGTGAAGATTTGTAACATTTCTTTGCAAAGTTTTCCCGCCTCAAGTTTCTTGGAGATGATTGGCTCTTTTTATTCTTTCTCGTCTTCTGATTGGCTATCAATTTAGGTTGTTTCATTTTGCCTCTTAACTTTCGTCAGACTTTCGTTGTCGAGAAGAATATTTGTAGAAGAACGAACAACGTTTGTAATATTTCGTACTTTTAAATGTACTTTCACGAGCTTTACACCTGTAAGTGGACGTTTTTACAATGCCTGATATATTCAAAGTCTTCAAATGAACCTCAATTCAAAACAACGAAATTTCGACGCGGAAGTGACCTTGCTCGACCTTGAAAGGTATGTATATCTGTAGAAACTCATTTTTTGCAGCTTTGTTTTGCTGTAGGGGAGGCTTTTAAAAGCAAAATAAATCTGATGTATTCGAGTACTGTTGATGTACTTTTACAAACCACTATGTCAACCACATCGTGGAGTCAGACGTTTGCAGACCGACAAACATTGAATATATTACAAACTGTCATATCAAGTCTGTCCATCTTTGGCTCGCTAACCATCATCATAACCTACTTCCTCTTTCAAGACTTGCAGTCAACAGCGAGAAAATTTCTTGTGTATATTTCTATTGGTGATTTTTTTACTGTGTTTCCGTATTTAATTACAGCATGGGTGGAGCACAAGAATGACTCTGTGAACTGTAAAGTTCAGAGTTTTGTAACAACCACTGCAGTTATGTGGTCATTTTTTTGGACTTCAGCTTTAGCAATATATTTATATCTTGTTATTGTGAGAAAAAGCCAAGAGAGGGCAGAGAAGTTAATGCCATATTTTCATGTCATAAATTGGGGCCTCCCCCTGGCCCTGCTTGGTGCAGCGTTGGAAAATGGTATGTTAGGCAGTGGAGAATCAAAGGATTCAGGGGGGTGGTGCTGGATAACCCTCACGTTGGGCCGTCGTAAAGCTATCTGGTGGATGCTAGCTTGTGGAAAATTTTGGGAAATTTTATCGTATTTTGTTGATGTGGTACTTTGTTTTATTGTGTCAAGGAAAATAAAGGCAGAGGTCAGTTAGTTTCAAGTTGTTTTTGAAACTGAAATGAAACTTTCAACTAATGGTGATTGTACAATAGCACCACCATGCTGCACACCCACTCACCATGCAAGTTTCAAATTAATTCATTTCTTTCTGCAGGTAGCAGAAAGACATGGTTTATCATCTGAATCAACTCAAGCTGCCATACAAGGAAAAAGAAAGCTTATTTGGGCTCCCGTTCTCTTTGTTTTGCTTCGGATATGGGGAACTATCAGATTTTTGTTGTTTTGTTTTCTCCCACATCGAAGTAAAAATTACTTGATTGAAAAAATTCTCATTGTTTGTCATGTAAGTATTGTCTAAATGACTAAAATAAGTCACTCCTTCGCTTGCTGTCATCACCTTTTGTGTTTTGCCACCCACAAATGGCAGACAAAACCTGGTTGTATTGTGTGAGAAAGGCTATTTATTTAACCACAATTGCATCCCGATACTCCATATTTTACTCGGTTTAATGCCAGACGATTTTACTCGTCAAGGGGAAAGTGCTGCCACTCAATGGGTTCAAGTTTTGTATATGTGTAGTAGAATAATATGAGCTTATCCTTGATCATTACCCAAGTTAGCAAACCCCTAACTGAGTTGCATAAAATGGTAGCCCAGGTGTAGCTAAGTGGCGAAGGCAAGGGCGGATTTTCATTTATTTAAAAGGAGAGGTAGAAAAGTTTCTGGTGGGATGCAAGCGGCACCACTCGTTGAGCTTCGGCAGGGGTTAGGCATTTGGATTTATTCATTTCACACAAAATAGGTGTGGTGAAGCGAAATTTTGATGGGGTTGAATACTTTATTCGAGCGGTTACAGAGATTCTAGGGGATTTAACCCCCCCCCCCCAGTAAATCCGCCCATGGGTGAAGGGGGGATGTCCTCTCAAGCACAATAATCTCCACACAATATTATTGTGCTAACAGTTTTGATATTTTATAGATCATTGGAGATTCCTCTCAAGGATCTGTCTACTTCATTTTGTTCTGTCTATGTACGCCCAAGTTCCGAGAAAATGTCCGCAAAATGTTGTGCAGTTCCCAGAAAAAGAAAAGTGTGAGAATTGAACGTAAAGGTAGGCCAAGCAGTTCAAAAGAAGAACACAAGTATCTTCTGCAAAACCCTGAAAATATTGTATTTTACACCTAATTTTAAACTTCTGCCAATGCTACTATATTATTCAAACTGTAAAAAAACTAGGCTTGCTAAGCGCGAGATAATGAAAAATTGGGACTACCAAATTTACTTCAGTAATGATAAGAATAAGAGCTCCCAAAAGTTTTGTATTTCACACCTGATTTTAAATCAGTTCTGAACTCTGTCTATTGGGAATATGAATTTTACTATACTACATATGATTTAGAATAACAGTATTGTCGATTTTCAAATGCAATGGTTAATTTGCAGCAATATCAATGGGCAAATGCATGAATGTCATAAAGTTCTAAGAACAAAAATGGCCTGGCAAATGAGTCCTGAGGAAAAAAATAAAAAATGTAATTGTGCACTACTAGAATATTTTGGGACTTTCAATTTTCAAGAAGGATTCACTTTCTAATTAACTTGATATTTAATATATGCTTGTAATCTTAATATCTTAATATATATATAAATTATATACATAATTGAATCATACAAGTGTGTTTGGTTCAGGAAATGTTGGAGAGTGCATACCATAAAATAGAGCAAATAGTATAGTTTAATTGGCTTAATTTCCTCAAAATCTGTACTACCATTCTGTACTATTCTGGGGCTGGTTGTTAACTACTTTTTAACTACCTGTTTCGTAATTAAATGGTAGTTAACGCTAACATACAGTGATACACAATTCTTATTGGTTAACTTTTGCACTGAAACTGAACCAGTAGTTAACTTCAACTACTTTTTTATACAACCAACCCCTAGTAGTAAGTACTTGACAGTACATACCAATATCATTCTTCATTTTAAATTATTTTATTAAATATTAGACATTTACAATATTTGCTTATCATATTTAACACCCATAGTATATTATTATTTTATGTCTTGCAGTTTTACCATTGATAACAAATAGCAATATATATTATTTAGTATTTACACACAATTTTAATACTATCACAGTTGAAAAGGTGCTCAGAATATGTTCATACTGTGTAATTTGCAAACCTAGTGCTAATGAAGTAGCTAGTATTTTCTAGCCTGCGTATTTTCCCCGCCCGCAACCTCCCCTAAAAACCGTCTGCTACGCAGGCTAAGTATTTTCTGAAGGACAAGCATTTGTCCGTTAATTTATATAAATTAATACGTATTTCTTATATCATACAATAATAAATATTTCATATGTGAACTTTACCAAGATCCAGCGGTATAAAAGCTAGAAAAACTGCAGGCAATACTTTAGTGCAAGCAAGGTGCTACCTTTAATAAAATCTCAAATGTTGGGCGCCAGTGTAAGTAGCGGAGAATATAATGGACGACTTGCGCTTTAGACTAAATTTTAATCTAAGTAAGAACAACAAAATCTATCACCACAACTAGAAAGAGCGTCTTGGAATTAGTAATATTACAAAGTTTGGTTGCGAAAGGTTGTAAAATATGAAAAATATAGCCCTTCGAAGTTGGCAAATTTGTATACTTTTGTATTACGTGCATGAATTGGTAACTAAATTAGTTACCAATTTCCGCACGTAATAGAAATGTATACAAATTTGCCAACTTCGCAGGGCTATATTTTCCGTATTTTACAATATTTCGCAACCAAACTTTGCAGTTTTTCTAATTTTGATAACTTCTTTCCGAAAATATCCTTTGTTATCCCCAGATTAAAAATTTTTCTAAAGCGCAAGTCATCCATTATTCAATTTGCGGTATTCTCTGTATGATACAACTACTTCAAAAATAAGAACAAATGTCGGCGTTTCAAGCAAAGGCTCCTCATCTGGATCTTGTCCTATCACAGAAGCCCACATAGAGAGCTAACTTGCAAGACTGCCTAATACTTTAATAGCTTAACTGCTCTTAAAACGGCAGAAGTTATTTCGCTGACCTCAGAATGATATTTCGTCAAAACTTTTTTCTTCAAGATTGGTTTAGAAACAAACTTGGAGTAGGGTTAGGTTGGGGTTAGGTTAGGGTTAGGATCAGGGTTAGGGTTAGAGTTGGTGTTTGGAATAGGGTTAGTGCTAGTAAAACCGTTGCTTTGTCACGTCTTGTCACTCTGAGGCCAGCGAAATAACCTCTTCCTCTTAATACGAGTTTTATAACAACCACAACTTGAACTTATCATCTCAAATCAGACTTAATTCAAACCCAGTATGTTCATGACCTGAACATAACGCGACAAGGTATGACGGCAATCAATATGTACATTGCGCTGTTCTTATACTAATATACAGAGCCAGGACAGTCAGAACAATAAGTCTTTTCATTAACCATATGAAAACCAATGTGTCCCAATTCCTTGTGACAGTCAGCGCACTTGAAACAATCATTGTGCCAGAACAGATCATTTGTTGTTAAGTATGCACCGTCTTTAATCTTCTTACAACAACTATGACACTGCTTGGCGAAGATATCCTCATAACAGCCGTTACAGTAACGGTTGCCGTATCGTATTAAGAACTTTCGTGTAGACAACGGTTCCTGGCAGTTGTAACAACCAAAACAAGAATCGTGCCATACTTGATTGTTGTATGTTACACCATCTCCTAGAATCGCCAAACCACATTGCACGCATTTCTCTGAGAAGAGATTTCGATGACATCCTGGGCAGTAAAACGCTCCCTCATTCTCCATAAAGTTAGATGTGATTGGCTGACGGCAGTTCTTACAGCAAAAACAGTCCGTATGGTAAGACAATCCATCATGCTCAAGCAACTGAATTCCAGGCTTAATCTCCTCGCCACACGTACAGCACATCTTATTTTTCTTTTGTTGGTAACATTGACTGCAGACCACTTTTTCATCGCCCATTTTAAAACTACCAAGAACAAGATTATTCTCGCATTTCTCGCAAATGAAGCACTCCTCGTGCCAATGTTTGTTACCATGGGTCATTCGTTTCTGTCCGATCGTGATTTTTTGATGACAACCTTGGCATTCGTCGGCGAGGTGTGTTGTGTGACAGCCTAAACATATCGCTTTGCCTTCCTCTGTTGTGTATCTGTTCTCAGCGATTGTTCCTTGACATTTTCCACAGCGAAAGTGTTCTGCGTGATAAGTGCGGTTCATCGCTCGAATGAACTTTCCAGATATGATGAGCTGTAAAGAAATTGAAGAGCAAGGTTATTTTACGTTACGCTGACTTGCGTATGGGTATTCCGTATTGTCACATAAAATTTTAACCAAGTGGTCCTATTTGCTGATAGATGGTATGAATAAGTTTCATCAGTCTTTTTCTTCAAATGACATCGATAACTTTACTCACAGGGGCGTAGCCAGCCTCAAACGAGTGGGGGGGGGGGGG